ACCCCGTTTGCTCATGCTTCCGACCCCCCTGCATGGATTTATTTCTCAAATAACCCATCCTGAATCAACCTGTTTGGTGGCTGTTTTAAGTCTCTACGGCAATGCCCGGCAGGTTTGACACAGGAGGGAGTTGCCATGGAGAAGAGAGTGATGTCATTGACACAAAAAGCACTGAATTTACAAATACGACAGGAACAGAGCTATTTATAAAAAGCTGCTTTTCCTACCCCCGCCTCTTTGGAGGGTGGGTGGACGCAAAGGCAGCAGTTCCATTCTTGCTGTTCTTGTCAACAAGTCTAAGAAATGAATTTTCCCATTAGAAATATTCTGAGCTCTTGAAATTGCTGAATGCTGTCAGCTCGTGGACTTCATTCATTAGATCTGGATTTAGCTTTCCGGCTCATAGCTATTTTTGAGGTCACAATGTTTCAGATTTGTATACCAACTCCTAGCCTGAAAAAGTTCACGCAGCATTGCTGAAATTCGGGCACTTTTGAAAGGAAAGACAGTAGCACGTGATACAACTAGATGGACAGATATCCTCTTTTCTGTCAAAGCCTCATGCTGCTTTTAAGCACTTTGGATAATAGCCATGACTGTTGTTTTTGCCCTGATCATGTGGGGAGCTATTGGATGTTAGTGCAACCTTTTTATATAAAGGCATTTAATGCATATAAAGATTGCAAAGCTCAGCAGAGCGAGCAAGGGAAGATGTTTGATTTAAAACGTGAACAAAAATCATTTTAGCACGCAGTTAGGAAAAATTAGGAGGAAAAGAGGGTGGTTTGAGGTGACAAAAGAGCTATTACTTACATGCACAGCTCCCAAAACAAACACGCAATCATCCATCAAGTGCAAATCTGACATGACAAAGATGAAAATGCAGGGCAGAAGTATTTCACCGAGATACAGTTCAAGATCCTAAATTCAGCTTGGAATTCTACCCACGCAAAAAGAGAAAAAAAAAATAGCTTAGCTTTTGCTGGAGCAGCAAGCAAGCAGCAAGTACAATTAGTCATTGGCTTAAACAAATAACAGCATCAGTGGTAGTGATGATGCCCCAACTTTAATCTCGGGATACAGACTAATACCAAAACACCCTAGTGAAGTGTTACTGGTTATGATGCTCATTTCAGCTGCCTACAGTAGTTCAGGGATGACAGGAGTGATTCATCCACATGCAGGGCTCTTCTGCCCTGTATCCCACACAAGGCCAGGAGAACCGCTGAGTGGAAGGCAGGTCTTCAGTCTGGAAGGCAGCTTGTCTTGGCAATGGAAGTTTAACCAACTACAAACACTTGCAACATGAACAGGGCTTTCCCAAAGCACCCACAGATCCAACTGCTTCCAGCAGTAACTAACAAAAGAGCAAGAGGATTCTGGAGAAGCAGAGAGTTTTCTTACCTCTCCTTTATAACAAGGCTGACAACTGGAACATCATTTCTGAATTTGCCCTCCACTTTCACAGGAGATGGGAGATAATAACACTTTGTCAGTATTCAAGTCCCATTTAAAAAAAAAAAAAAAAAAAAAAGGAAAAACTGCATATTCCTATTACATGTTCCTATATCTTATACAATGAGGGCCTATTATTACAGCTGCCCGCACAAGTTTTCAGCAGCATTTTCTGTTTTCAGCATTTTCAGGCTAGACCAGAGTGCTTTTAGTTGACATTTGGGCTTTATGCCTTAATATAAAAACTGCTGCTTTCACTTGTGCAGGATCTAAGCAAGATATTAGGAAGAATGGGAAATGGTTTGCTAAAACTTTAGAGAGAAGAGTCTTGCCCGACTCCCCTGCAAACAAACAAGGAGCAGATAACATGGCACTACAAACAAGAACCACCCTTGCATATACATTACTACTCCAGCTTCAAGAAAGGAACTATAGAATTCAAGTGATCGTAGAGAAGCATGTGCCTAGAGATTTAAAAGCTGGAGAAGGCAACAGAAGGTCAGCAGAGAAACTAAGCAGACTGACGTTTGCCTTTTGTCAGCAGTCTGTCACTTAGCTGCTGATCTGCAAATCACACTTTCTTATCAATTGGCAGCCATAGGATCAATAACTCAATGGCTTTAGATAAGGCTTGGGACAAGAAGAGGGTAAGGGTCAGGTACTCATGGAGACAACAAAAAGGGATCAGGTTATTTCCAGAGGCTACGGAATGACTTTAGTGCTACATTGCAGTTTGATAATTTAAGTTACTTTATGAGGTAAAGAAATGCACAGAGGAAAGATTTAGAACGGTTTCCTGATGCACATGTAGGAGATGGCGTTTTTCTACTTTTAAAAATACCCATGCATTTTATACACTGAAACTCAAAAATGGATTTAATTTATGGGAAGCTATAGTTAAAAAAGTCTACCATGACAACGGAGCCATTAGCAGATCAAGTTTAAATTCCAATGAAAAGACTTCCTTGAAGAATGTTCCATGACTTCCTTGAAGAACGAACCAAAGTAGAATTATTAATTATTTTACAGAAGCCACAGTTTAGAAGACCAGTGGCCTTTAAAAGTAATCATTTGAGTGACATGTGAAATGTAAGCTGACAATGTCCTTTATAAAAAATAATTTCAATTTTTGACTCAATAATTCTTGCAATTTTTGACCATAGGTAGGACCACTGGCTTGCTAGAGCCTCTTTAAAAACCTTATCATGATGTTGCTGTCTCTTCTCAACTCGGAGGCCAAAACTTCAGTGATGCTGATGAATAATCTGCTTATAGAAGACTATTACAGTGGAGTGGAAGTGAGCCAATAGGTAGAAAATAATGTAAGTAAATTCCCCACTTATTATAAAAATAATATGCACTGAAATAATTCAACATACTGAAATAATTCAAAACTTTCCAAATATTCCTAGTCAAGGCACATCAGTGTTCTCAGTCTCCAGAATGCTACTTTCTGGGAACAAAAAGAAATTTGCTCTTTGGGGAGCCATAAAAATAAGAATTCCCACGTCCAACCTGTGAGACCAGCCAACTGGGAGCGCACGCCAGCGCTGCCCTGAATGTAGGAATAAGATTTTAGTGTCCCCTCCAGTCAATCCCATGGAAGGAGAAGAGCTCTGCTGGTCTGGAATACCAGGGGACCAGCACTGCTCTGCAGGCTAGAACCACCCTCAAGGTTTGGATCCTAGTTTGGCAAATTCTTAAATATAATTTTTGGCAGCAATAAAGCCTGATGGGAGTCATAAACAGTTCTGCTTTGCCTTGGAAGTATCTATTGTTCTATATGAATTTAAGGCTGTAAATGTAGTTCCACAAAATTACCTTCATATGCTGCTGAAGTTTTGTTATTTTTAAACAGTTCTTAAATTATATGGATCCATAACAGAGGCTATAAACAAACAAACAAAAAAAGAATCAATGACATTCTGCCTTTAATTTAGGATCTGGTTACCCACCCTTGCTTTCTACCCAATATAGAATGCTGGAGAACATGATAATTCTTACTATTTCTGAATAAACAGAAATAGATAGAAAGCAGATAAACTATAGGAGAAGGAAGAAGAAAATAGGAGTTCTAGGAATACCAAAAAGTTGCTTCAAACAAGGTCATTAAAAAAAAAAAAAAAAAAAAAAAAAAAAAAAAAACCACCACACACCTTTCTTCACGTCTTTGCCCAAATGGATCTCTTAACTATAAACAGTCCCAGCTTGACAGTAGGATAGCCTAGAAAGCCTTGTTACTGCTATGTTTTTAACAACTACAGTGACTTAGCCCCGCGGAAGAAGTTATAGAAAAGGACACCATTAGTTGTTGGATCCAGTTAACACCCTTGGCTGAAGCAGCACCTTCTAGGGGCAGAACAACAAAGAATTTAGGAAATAATTCAGGGAGGATTTCTTAAAGGCCTAGGAATTACAATAAGGCTTCAGGACAGAGGCTCCTGAAGAAGAGGACAGATAGGAACTAGTCCTTCCAGAAATCTTAAAGTAATAAGGACCATTTTGTAGGAAGACAAAATAAAATCTAAAAAGTTCTTGAACTGCTGAAAACCCACAAGGCCAGGACTATGATATAGCACTACTAGTGATGTGGTCTTCTCCTCTCATCCATACATGTATGAGCGGAGCTGTGAAGAAATCAGCCGTGAGCCTACATTCAAGTTCCTCTACACTCAGAGTACTCGAGGCATCTTGGTTTTATATCCTGTAAACTCTGTTGAGTCTCAAATAAGCCGATATAATCCTTTGTATCAATTTCAAGTGCACAGTGCATAAATTTGTCAAAAAAATAATAAAAAACTCCAAAACTTTAGCACATATGGTGATTTTAGCCTTCAGGGACTTCTGACAGATGCTCAACCCAGTCAGTAACCCAAGCCCCGGAAAAAGTAAAACCAAAACATGTTAGTTTCTAGAAGCAGAACCATTAAGTATGCATCTTCTCCACCATGACTTCATCTCGTTTTCCTACAATTCATGAGCGTGTGGTCCAGGTAGAAACATTCAAGCTGTTTTTAAGTGCCCAGAAAGTCTTGCAGTTATGAAAGCTGCTACCAAACGAGCGCCTTTTGCTTCTGGCAGCTATGAACAATTCCCAATCAGGCAGAAACACATCGCCAGGGACATTAATCAAGTCTTTTGATGACAGAGTAGTGTTTAACAAGGCAGAGGTGCTATCAAAATACAAGTTTATTGATGAAACAGTGATTAAAAGGAGTAATATAAACCAGCTACAGATAGGAGGAAGATTTCAGAGACTGCAGTATGAACACATAAAGCACATTTTAAAGAGCTGTACAAAAAATGGGAAAGAGGGCACATATGACAGCCAATGTTCTCTAGCAAAAACTTTCAGACACTGGCTAGTTTATGCAGCAGGTTAGGACACTATCTGTGCACTGATACAACATAAACTTCCATTAGCAGCTCCATGTAAAAATACTGTAGAAACCACCATCATCTTTGTTCATACTTACATTTGAAAATAAATAACGTTAACAACGGACACCCCTACATAACACAGGGCATGTTTGCTCTCTAGGAAGTCAGAGGATGTTCTCCAAGAGGAAAGTTTCTCCAAGTGCTGCTAAAGATTCACAGAGACGTTCTTGGAAACGGCTGTCAAACATGTCACTTATTTCCTCTCTTAGCTCTTGCAGCAGAGGCACTGTGGACTTACCATCTGCATTCAGGATTCTCCCAAAAAGCTTATTCCAGAAATCACTGCCAACAGTCCTAAAGACAAACAGAGGTGTTTTCAGTGAAACAACATAGCATGCAGGACATGTCTGTTAATGTTCCTCTTTACATTCAGCTCTAAATGCTGAGTCTAAAACAGTTTCATTCATATGAATGACTGTAAAAGAAAAGGAATGTTCGGTTAAAGTTTATCCATGCACACCCTTCTTTCTCCCCATGGTTTCTGAGCAGCAACTTGACATCCAGCCTGTTTCACAGGTCCAAAGACACTGTTGTTACACTGTTACCTCTTTAAGGGTACCTGACCATTGTTCACACTGAGACAGGAGGTTTTTAGATGAGTACCAAGAGGTAGATGTAAATAGGGGAGTACTCTAAGATTTAAGCTGAGTAGATTGCAGGTCAATATTACAGGAAAGCCACAAGAGAAATATGAAAAATGAGTGGTTTACAGACAATCAACTCCTTTTTTTCTTCCCCATCCATCTGCCAGAGCTCTCCTACAGATAACATTTCCAAGACACTTCGCAGTAATAAATCCCCCATCTCATAGATAGACCCACATAACATGAACAAAAAGGTTAAATGACTCATTAAAGTCTGGAAAAATTGTATTTATTTTTCAGTCTTGCACCAAAGTCCACGGTGCTTCAGACTACTGAAGTGCTTTTTCCCCTCAAGATAGGGCTGAAAAAACAAAGCAACAAGTCGTCTCCCTCTGTTTTAGGTAAGTGACTGACAAAGCAGCAGCCACGCTCTCAGCAGGGATGTGGCTCGTACCATTACACTAATAAACTCTTATGTTTTCTAAGTTAGCAGTCATAGAGAGCACAGCAGCAAACCTGTGAGACTTGAGGCTGAGGTCAAGGGAGCTTGACCTAGAGTCCTTTCCAACTGACCCCTTCCCAGCACTCCATAAAGGTCAGTCCTATCCTTCCAAACTCAAAACTTCCTATATCTGCTATTCAGCTCCTCCTGCTCCAACTACTCAGACCCTTAGGGCTATTTTTTCCCTCTCATACCATGTCCTCATAGAAATGAACACAGAGCAGCACTATTTTTCAGGGCAGGTCAGATTTACTTAGCTCAAAAACAAGTAGTGTTGGGATATCTATCAGTATAGAACAAAGCCAATCTGCACCAGTGATTTAGCCATCAATTGCTTTCTACTATTTCTAAAATTAAGGCATTAAGATACATTTATTGCCAATCTATAGATCAGCAACATCCCTCTCTCCAGAAAACAATCAACTCTGGTGATTTTTTTCCCCCCTGTGGCCACTACAGTGAACTGATCACCTGAAGAATAAAGAGCTTCAGGGTGCAGTCTAAAATGCATAGTGAGCACTCAAAGCCTGCTAGAGCCTTGTCACTAAAAGTATTAATCTATAACAACAGGTAAACAAAAATATATGCAAAATAAATCACTTTCCCTTGTGTGCAGCTCAGGAAGGTAGAGATTTTTTTGCAAAGATGGAATACAACAGAACTAGAGAGGTATAAGCAACACAGGTTGCTTAGGAACTGGATAAGTCCCATATTGGCAGCACATTCTTTAAGTGATGGTTAGAGAGGTATATCCATACATTGAATGTGGCCAATATACCAGGATCCTGAACGCTGCCAGCTCTCAGGTGAAATCTGTATCATAGGCAGAATGCTCTGGAACAGCCTTATAAAATGCTAAGGCAGAGAGACTCTACAAGATGGGACTGCTGAGATGAGCAGGTATTTGCTTTAAGTACAAACATAGGATAGATGAACACAGAGTAATCTTGTAGACAAAACATGTGGCTAAAAGGGAGCAGTAGAAATTAATATTTGGAGACTAACACCACATCCAAAAAAAGACAGTGGTTGCCCATGAAGCTTAAATTATACATGCACAAGAAGAAAAATAATTAAAGTTATACTGTTTCTGCAACAGTTACAGAGAGAAGCCTGGCATCAGCATCTTACTAGCCTTCAATGGAGCCTAGAAGAAAGAGCAGAAAATCCAAATAATCTCCATATCTAAAGCAACATGTTCATGTAATTTCTTTCTCACCACCCACGCACATATAAAACCTCCCCAAGTCTGGTCTATGAAGTTAGAAAAAGATTAAGGCAGGTCTGAAAAAAGTGGGGGGGGGAGGGGAGGGGAAAAAAGTTAACTGCTCTGTAAGGCGCATTCAGCATAAAACTGTCTCAAACATAGCACTACAGTACATGTTTGAGTACATTATAGTTCTTCATGTTTGCGTAGTACTTGATGTGTGTTACAGTACTTTGTTTGAGTACAGAGCACTCAAACACTAAGTACTACAACTTTTGAAGCTACTGGACTTGTTCATTGTAAGCCTCCATAGAACAGTGTTGTTGCTGCCAAGAGCATAAATTCTGTGTTTAAGCTTTGAAGATGCAAAAAGAGCAAAGAAAGTTTGAAGAAGTCTGTTCCTTCCCAGCAGTCTGCTCTGCAAAAGGACTTACTTGGACATATTTTGGCTGATTTTCCAGGTGAAATTTTCCTGATAGACTTGGATATGATTCCCAAACAGCATCAAATGGACTATATCTGCAATGGCAACCATGTCTACCTGCAACCACAATAAACACCAAAAAGTTGAACTTGTCTTGATTTCTGCAGTCCAAGACAGATTTATACATTGGCACTTTTACCCATTTAAGACTCAACTTAGTGTTCGCATCAAAATCATGCGGAACACTGTGAAGGAAATAAAAGGGCCAAAAGGGAAGACTTTGGTCTTCTTAAAAATTCATAAATAAGTATAGCACTGACAGAAACTCAGCAAATCCAAAACAGTGCTGCTAGTCTCTTCAAATGCAAAATATGTATTTAGAGGAAGACTAAAATATCTGGCTAAAGACTCACCTGATAAGGAGAAGAGCTTTTTGCCAGGAGCTGCTGTCCATAAGGGGTCTGAGCTATTGGAAAGCTGTTGAGCAAATTTATCTGAGACTGCAGCTTCAAATCGAGGCTATGAGAGAAATCCACTATCTTCAGAGCACTAGCCATCTCATCATTAGCAAACGGATCACAGATCCTACATAAAGGAAACAAACGTTGCAGGTGACAAGCCACCAATTTGGGGTTTTTTCGACTGGGAAGGGAAGGTGTGTCTAAACTAAACTATGTCAATGCTCCCCTCTGATGGTTAGCTTCAGAACTACTACTTAAAGGACTCCACCTTGAAGTAAGAGGAGCCAGCGGGGCAGACCGAAGCTTCAAGATAATACTGGTATCTCCAAAAAGAGTAATAGAAAGCACTAAAGATGATGCTCTTTTGACATCTGCTTAGTCACCCGAAATACAGCTAGGGGAACCGTAGCAAGAAGATAGGGTTGTCAAATTTTTGACAGTTGAAGCTGGATTTGCATTTACCAAAGGAAAACCAAAATAAATCTAACAGTAGACCAGATTCCTATCTATTAAATGTCTAATTTAAAAGTTTAATGTCAATAGTTTTTTTAAACAGGTCAAAGACTAACCACTACCTCATTTGCTTCTAATGGAAGCATATCCAAAATTAAGGCCATCCCACACTTAGTTCACAACTAATATTCTGGGGGATATGTGACTATTAACACTGTTTAGGGAAGAGTTTAAAAAACACAAAAATTGATTATTTCATCAATTTACAAGCAGGACTGTAGTGAGAAAGGCAAGCAATTTGTCTAGTGACCAGAATACGCAGGCACTCCCATCTGCCCTCCTAGCTTCCTATTTTTCACATTTAGGATCAAAGGCAAATTATATCCAGTACCTAGTCAGCTGCTCTTTTTTTTAAAGAGACATACACTTTACATCATCATGATGTACATGCTCTTCTATAAAAATAGAGAAAAGAAAGTATTGCTCCCAATCAAAATGTTTTCACCACTTTCAGAATACATAACAGCCTAGAAAATGTCTCTTGCCCTGAGCTACATCATCAGGAGCCTAAGCAAAGGTGAGAAATTGTAACAGGAGCTGTAGCTGAAATTGCCTTCCCATATTGATACGAAGACACTAACCTGTCTCCCAGAAAGAATACCTCTAGACTCAGGTCTCCATGGACGATCTCTGCTTTGTGGAGCTTCTCTACAACACCCAGAAGATTATAAACCACCAACAGAATAACCTCCTCTGTGATGGTCTTACAGTCACGAATTATGTCCTGATGATACAGAATAAAAATACTTTTTTGTGTCATTCTACCTCAAACAAAATGGATTATTTATAGCTTAGCAACATAGTAAATCCTTTAGCAACATACTAAAGGCCGAGACTTTATGCTGTGCCATAGCGGACTAGAAGTGTAGAAGATGGCAAGAAAAGCAAGTAAATTTTAGTTGCAAACCCCATTACAAAATAAAAATGTAGTTCTTAGCCCACATCACCTGTCACTTCTGTGATTAAAGTCAAAAAAAAGGTTTAAATGAGTCTCAGAAATCCAGAAATGAGAAACCAATCCTATCTAAGGCTTTAGTGAACAGTTTTAAAAGACAAAACAAAAAGTCAGAGTATCTAGACTACAGGATTAAACATGTGAAAGTCTTCAGGAATGACTGACAAAACTCCCTGTTGGTACCTACAGAAGGAGTTCATGTCTTGTACAGCTGTACTTTGGCCATCTGTACTAACCCCAAGTATAAAGCGATTGATATCCCTGTGTAGAACAGCACAGCCATCTTGGTAGAGGAAACAGCTGCAATTCTCACTGAAGCTTTGGTCAAAATCAGTATTCAAACGCTCCTGTAGTTGAAGTGTGATATAAAAATCCCAAGGTACAGGCTCAGAATACACCTAGAGGAAGGTACAGAAGAACAACATTTATTTTTGGAATAAAGCAGAAATTGCTCATCTTAATTTTCTGTCTTTTTTTCCCCCCATTTTACTGTTAAACACATTTTCCATAATCAGAAACTTTTCATTTATATTGCTACTTAGAAAGAGGTTTTGAAATTTCTCATTTCATGCCTGGAATTAAGAAATTAAAACTAGATTTACTGTATGGTAGACTAAAATGACAGATGAAAATATAACATTTCAGATTTCATGTATAATTAACGTATTACCTTTATTACAAATCCCTTTGCATCCAACTGGGGAAAGTTAGCTGGAACAGCAAAACATATCTTGTATTCTTCATTGGCCCAATATTCCCGTTTGATACAATAAGTCTCATTTCCTGTAATGAAAGTTTACAAAGTGTCACATCAAATGTATACGATCAGACTATTGAAGCTACTCCCCACCTGCCCACCAGAAAACTCGCGAAGGGGACGAGCATGAGAGATGTTGTGACCAGCATAGAACATGAAGAGATCCCTTGCAGTCTAGAAAGTTTGTGGCTCTTACCTAGCTCAAATTCTTTCTCAATCACCATTGCAGGCAGAGATCCATTCTCCAAATGGAAGTCTGGAGAAGCAGTCAGTGATTCTGGCATGGGATCTAGGAGCTTTTTCCGCTGTTCATTACTCCACAGAAATTGAGGTATGTCATCACCTAGACAGAGAAGCAACAGCAAGATGGGCTCAATCTAGAAGGTGATCCCCTTTGCGAAAGGGCCGTATTTGATGAGCAGAGTGACATGGATAGACTTTATTTGCATGCTGAAAAGTAATGCAGGAAGTCAGAAAAGCCACGGAGGGACTTCAATACACATCAGAGAAAAGCAATAGGAACAATCAGTTTAGCAAACACAATCCTCAGAAATATATTCTAATACAGTCTAATTCTTCTATTTCTGAATTCCGGCTTGTTACTCCTACCTATGCCTTGCGATGCCTTAAGTAACCTCTCCTTCACCTTAGTATTAACATCTCTTTAGATGTTGAGACTATATCCTCACTATATACCGTGGCTAAATGGGTATGGCGGAACTAAACAAACATCACACAAGCCACTGAGCAACAGAAAACATACAGAAAGAGTAGAGAATGTAGGATGGATGGAAAAGATCATAATGTAGTTGTAGCTGCAAGTTATTTGTGGTGAGGGAAATTCAGTTTCAGTACTAACCAGTGATGTTTTCACCAATACCTCCAGAATCGGTAACAATTTCAGCAGGCAGGCTCTGAACAAGCTCCAGTTTCTCAGGAATATGCAGATATTTAATAGTAGATATTTGTGCAACAGAGGAAAGAGAAGATCCTGGGGAGGCAGAAGACCCTGACGAGCGAGTATCTTCCTGACTTGCTTCCATAATTGGGCTGTAAATAAAATTATCAGTTATTCAGACCTCCAGAAAATTCAACATGTAGAAAACACTGGTTAGTGGCTATAAAAGTATTCCATGTATCCATAGACTTCTTTAACAAAGACATCCTTTTCATCTCATGAGGAAAAGGGGCAGTTATATTGGTGCATTACCTTAGCTCTGATAATTGTTTACAAGTATTCTTTGTATACTGATTATTTTTAATCTTATTTTACATTAACCATACCTGCTATAAAAGAGATACTGAACATTTATCAGTGTCCTAGTTACCAGAATTCAGTCCTGCCATACTTTTAAAGAAGCGCAAATGCTTTTAAAGGGGCACAAGACCAAAATCTTTCTTGCTCTTCCTTCCTAATTATAATCAGCATGGATGGCTTCCCAGGGTGTTTACTTTCCCAGATAATAAACACCTTCAGCTTGGTGTACATATTTACACATTAACAACCAGCAAACAAAGCTCGGGTCTAAATTAAGAAAACAAATTCAATTCATGCCTTTTTGACAATGGTGAGAAACAGTGAGTTGTCAAAATTTTCCTCTCCATACAAGAAATCTAAATCATAACCATCGGATCCCTTTTATTCAAGTTACAGAAACATTCAAGTACAAAAGAAACTGACGATTCAACTTTCAGTCTCTGGGGTTAGAAAGCGTTTATGAATTTCTACCAAAAAAGTGATCTGTGTAGAAGGAAATCAGTTAAATACTGCAGTATGAACAGTGAAAAGTCAAAAGAACAGTTATTACTTTTTTAGCTGCTCAAGGCACACTGGACTCCAAGTTAGAAACAAAGGTAGTGTTAAGCACATTTTGATCGCTTAGCAAAGTTGCTTCTTCTGAAACATAATAGTAAAACTGCAACCAAAGACACACTGGAAAAGGGCAGAAGATGCCTTGCTATAATTACCTCAGTTTCTTGGCACAAAGGGCTTCATTGTACGTTCCCTCACAAACAGGGATCTGTTGATTCAGAGGGGTGTTCTTGGATTCTGGACAATCTTCCTTGAGGGCACTCTCTGAATAAGCAGGAGCTGCGATTCTCTGAGCTAACACCCCATGGAAGGGGGTGGATGCCAGGTGGGCAGCCCTAACAAAGTCACAGGTGTCTTCTGGGTTGGCACAAAAGGTTTTGTTCTTGTAAGAGCCTGTCACAATTGCATCTTCAGTCAGAGGTTCAATTCCATTGAGCTCATCCTGCAACAAATAGGAAAAGAAAACAAAAACCTAGGCATTTTATGTCAAAACATTTCTGTTAAACAGCTGTCTCCTCCCCCTCCCACCATTATGAAACTGAAATTCTGTCAAGATGTGCTTCATATTCTTAAATTCTGGCAGGAAAAAGCAGTAGGCAAATAATAATCAAATAGGCAGTTACGACATGTGTTAATTAATATTTTACTTTTAATTTATCAACCACACAAGTTCAGTCATTGAATTTTTAAACTGGTGTAATTGCCTCCCATATAGAGATGCAGCTTTGCACTATCTTTATCCCTCTTACCTTGCAGGGAACGCTTTCCTTTAGACATGCCAGTCTCACAATAATGTCTCACCTAGTCATTACAAAGAGGGTTTCCTCTCTCCCTTCTTCCATCCTACCACCTTTCAACTTGAGCCTGACACCTTGTCTTCAGGTACTACTTCTATTACTTCTCTGAAGTAACTGGCTGTAACTGAAATATATTTCCCTAAGTAGAAAGCGTGGCACAGTTGCATTCTAGAGTTACTGTGAACTATGAAAGGCTACTTGCTATGTGTCAGAGAAACATATAGCTGCATTTCTGTTCAGTTAGAGCACATAATTCAAGAGCTGACTAGTGTTGGGCATTGAAAACTACTAGAGCATGCAAAGCAGCACTACGCAGATACCCCAAGCAAGTCTGCAACCAAAGGCAGCACAATGCTCATCAGGAATTACTCAACCCTGCGAGTTATTGCATAATGCAATTGTACTGTAAAATCCTTCCCAGCTCAGAATAAAATCCTCTCAATTTAAAGCTTTACTGCTGGCATGCAGTAACAAAGCCCTTTGATGAGACAGCAAGTCACAGCTCTAGTGATTGCTTTACAAACATCTGCAAAATTGCCAGGACAGTCTGAGATGGCTTAGGATGCAGGGAGCACAGATTTGGATGATTTGAGGTGAGAAACACTTCAGGTGAGAAACAGAAGGCTGAAATGCTTGTCCAGATGTGTGGTAAGAGAAGGATGCAGAAGACAAGTCTTCCTCACATAAACGTTTTTTTTAACTGGTTGCGGAGTGAGGAAAACTGACCGCTGCTCTCTTGCTTAAAATTTAAAGGCTCTCTGCCACTATCTTCGTATCAACAACTTTGAAGTCTCAAAAAAACCATGAAGTTTCCAGGATAACCTTACTACTACCCAATTCAAGCACTGCTGTGGATTCCCGATTGTGTCATATCGATAACTTGACAGTCCAGGCAATATTACTCAGTTCAATAGTAGGACAGTCGGCTTCTCTTTATCAGAAAATCTGCTGTAAAGGGTTTCCTTACACAAGCTTCCGGTGGCACATTTTCCTTTGCAGTGAGAGAATCTGAAGGTTTACGAATAGCAAGGGGGCGCCAGGCACTTTTCTGTGCATGACCTGTAGAACAACTAAGAAAAAGTTATATCGTGTTAAATATTTACTAGCATAGCTTCTGGTCAGAGATTTCTCTCAGCAATTTACATTTACTGGCTGCTTCAATGCGATCCACTTCCTAAACCAGAAAATTGGAGTGTATACGGGTCTCCAGAATCAAGAAAACATATGCAGCACCCCAAGTGGTTTGCGAAAAGTTCTAGGAGAAACAGAGTACATGGCCAGAAAATATTTCCCTCCTAAGTAGCGTAACAAGACTAAAAATAAATAAAAAATAAAACAAACAAAAAAAAACCCCCAAACACAGGAACCAATTCATCTGCAAGAGAAAGTGGCTGGTACTTTAGTTATTCACCTCCCTCAAAAATCTAGTTCCTCAATAACACAACCTTGTATTCTGGTTTACTGAAGCAGATGTCTCATCAAAAATGGAGAAACATGTAGCAGGTTCCACAGGAGGAAGGAGGGCAACATCTACAAAAGAAAACCAAAAGACTATTAAATCAAGAGTTTTTCCACAACAGCCTATCCAATACTTCTTAAGAGGAGTAATAACCTACATGAAAGGTGCCACTCCCAGCAAGAAGTTAGAGAACTCTTTGAATAATTGTATAGGCAAGGAGAGGTTGGTCAATCAAACAGAAATGCTTGGTTTTGTTATGGCAAGAACCACCTAAAATCTGTACCTTTCTTACTAAGGTTGGCTTCAGCTCTTTGGCCTTCCTGTTCATCCTCAGAGTCCAAAAACACACTCCATCCCTGCACATCAGGGCATACAGCAGGAGACTGGATGACCTCTATCAAAAAACACAGCAGTCAACTCAGCTTAAAAGTGAATTTCTTCGGCATGCACTCTTCTCAACAACAGAATTTACAATGCAGCAAATCAGTGTATAGTTTCCAGATGTTGACTGCAACCAAATCCTCAAATAAGGACTAAAGAGGGTATCTTAAAAAAAAGAAAATATTGAAACTACTCTTATTTTTATTACTTTTAATAAGCAGATTTTAGTAAGACTGCATAAAATAAAATGAAAAAATTTAATTCTCTTCAATTATTAAAAAATAGCTCTTCTCACTGAAAGTTTTTCCAAAAAGCAGGTCTCCACCAGGTGTCCCAAATGTCCAGGCATTAGACATTAGCACATTCTTATTTTCATTTTCCTAATCCACCTGGGCTTGTTTTTTTTTCATTTGCTGTAGGTTTTTGCTGTTCATTTGAAAGAACATTTTCTTTCAGTACCAACCTTCTCTAAAGTGGTAAAAATTTAAATAATACTTACTCTTGGAACGAGCTGGTTGCTGCAGTTCAGTATCTTCTGAAGGCTGTGGTTCACTGTGAACAAGTAAGAAACAAACTTGTTTCTTACAGTTTACACACCTTCACAAAGCACAAGTAGACTTAGTTCAAAAAAAAAAAAATCAAGCCAAGCCAAGTTATCTTACACCACCTGCAAAAAATTAATTCTTTGAAGATTTAAAATTCTGGCTGGAGGCTGAGACCTAAGGATACCCTTTCTCCATACAGAAGGCTTTCTGTTAATCATGAGTGTTATATAACTAGTTACCCCCACAAATTTTCTCATTACCTGCAAATAAAAAAAAAAAATAAAATAAAAAAAAAACACTTTGCTACCTTTGCAAGTGAGGCTGTTTCTCTCCAAGTTCTGTTGCACTGGAGAATGCAACATCTTGCAGCCCCAAAGCTGGTGAGGACTCTCTTGTGTCTTCTGGCTGTAAAAACAAGAGTGTATTTTGGTTCCATGGGGGTGGAAGCACAAGCTATGCAAAGAGGTTCCAAGAATACCATGATAATCGCATGCAGGTCATAAAAGCCTTGATGTACCAATAAATGGCCAAAACCAGTTTTGTTTGCACTTAATTTACTTGCATGAGAGTGTTGTTTGGTTATTAAACAGACACTCTACTACGTATATATTTTACTCTTTACAACTACATAAAGATTTTGTTTGGTATTTTTTGTTAACCAAGAGGCTACATTGTACTACATATAGTAAGATGTTTGTCAGCAGTTGCACAAACTTGCATCAAATTCAGAGCATCCTGCATTTCCTTATTTAAAGCGTATCTATTACTAATAATGTTTTGGAAGGGGCAGAGAGGGAATATACTTTCAGTCGAACTGATGCATTCAGGAACAAGAAAAGCTTTAAATTAATTTTTACCTGTAACTTGCAAACTACATCAACATTGGGGTTAAAAATTGCCATCGCTTACCAAAATAGCATTTTTCCAGCTAGTTAGACAATACTTAACAGCAGTAAAGCAAAGCATACACATTTATATTTAAGTAAAACTAAAACAGTCCCTGCTCAAGGCAGTACTGCACTTAAAACGCATTAGATCCTTTTTTTTTTTTTTTCTTCTTCATGTGCAGAAGAGAGTTCCTTCTGTCTTCTTTTTCATTGCCAACTTCTCTAGACAGAAGGAAGCCACTAGTGATTAGAGTTTAAGAAAGTTATTTACCCTTAAGCACTCAGAAGGCCTTTAATAAATAATTTAGAAGTTTGTATCTTAACATCTTTAGACTCCTTTAGTGAAATGACATGCTGGGAAATATTTGTTTGAACTTTCATTTACTGGGTGACACTCCCACTGTAGGCATACAACTGATTGAAACATCCTTTCCAAGAGAGGATGAAGTATTAGCCAAGAAACTTGTTACATATTCTTCCACTAGCACTGTCACTTAAAAATAGTAGCTATTTGTAGGAGAGCAGATAAATGAAGAGGTCAATACCTGTTCGTGTGGTTCTTTCTGCCTGTCCTTCAGGACCTTCTCCAGCGCCTCAATTTTTCTTTGAATCTCTTCCTTCCTCTGTGCTATGACTTGTATCTCCTCTAAAGATAGAGTAGCTGGTAAGACACCACACATTTCGTGTGCAAGATGTGGCTAAAGGCTAAATACACCATAAAGGAGGCTAAAATTCTGGGGTTCCTTCCCTGTTCCCTGAGCTATAATGTTAAGCTGGAAACAGTGTTGTTCTCTCTATACTTCAGAGGGGCTAAAAATCACTATTTCAGTAAAAACAGCAGCTGCAGTGAGAAACCAGTATATCAATAAAAACAGGAGAGTTTTATGACTTCATCCCAGGAAGCCTTAAGTCATCCCACTTTATGGCATACCTTCTATTTTCTTTTGGGCTCGTTTTCTGTAGATTTCAGCTCGAATCTCTTCGAAAGAGAATTCTTCCACTCCGGCATAAACTTTATCTTTGCAATACATCACCAATTCTTGCTTTTCCTGAGCGTCCTGCTGATGGCTTTGCACTCGTTGTAGAGGGTCCTCTTCTTTCTCAGGTTTGCGAGCGCTTAAAACACTGTTTATGCTGGGTTCAATTTTGCAAGGAGTCCTGAAGAGACAAAAGTTAATATTTGAGGCTTACGAACTGCATTGCCAAAGAGCAGCAAGTACTGGTGAGAGAAGAGCCAGTTCGAGAGTCTAACTGTAGAACAGCCTAAACAGAAGTTGATTAATGGCTAGACAAACAAAACAAGGAAGAAAAATGGAATTACGAGTCAGTGTATTTCTTTCTGAGCTAGAAATCTGTAAACCAGGAAAAAAAAGTGATGGTAATGTTCACCCAAAAAAACCAAAATTCTTATAGCACTCTAAATTTCTTCACATTCTGGAGTGAGATTTATTTTTACTTTAGCTCCAGTGATGTGCATGAATGTACAGGTGGTGAGAAGTCTATAACCATCCTCTAAAACAGAGTTAATCTTAAGAACTAGCAGACCTTAAAAATGAAAGATTTCCAACTAGGTTGGGCCTGGTATTTGACCCTAAAGAGAAGTTTAAAATATCATAAAAGCTCAAGGAAGAGTGCGCTGCGTATTGAACACTGGAAATTAATTTCCCAGTTATGCTTACCTCAGTAACTTCAGATCTCAACAACTCAGAAATGTGTTTAACTGGTTTGGGCAATTAGTTAATTCAAAACACTTATAAAAGCTGTTAAGTTTCACCTTTCAGAAAGCTCATAACCCTAAAATCAGTTCAGAGACGGAGGTACAAAATGTATTCATAGGTATGTTTTTAAGTGCCCCACCACCACACCCATAAACATACACTTTGGTGGAGCAGGAAGGAAGGGGTTAGTTAACCAGGTCACTATGGGGTCCTTCTACTCTAACCTCTGATAATGTGATTTTTCAAGGACTTTACTGCTGCATCATGAGGCAAGGGATTTAAAAACAGAAAAAGATATGCTTTTAAATTCTTTCCACTACACAGCTGTAAATAGCCTAAAATAGCTTAAGCAGACATTTGTATGTAGTTTTATACTGATTTGGCAAATTTGTGTTTAAAACATAAGGCTCAATTTCCATCCATTTCTTTCTGCTGCCCTCTGTAAATAGTAAGTTTTCATCTAGGAGAGACAAGCAGGTCAAGAGATCTAATCCTATGGCATTACTGACTTCCAGGAGCAAGAAATAGTTTTAGTTTAGACAACCTTGATATTTTACATGTTCTAAAACTACGGAATACCTTCGGTCAGAGCTACTCTGCAGTCGGACAGCATTCTCATTTTGATTATACATTCAAGAGGGAAAAAAAAATATCAAGGAAGAAATCAGCAATATCAATATGTTTCACATTGAAACTATGATATCAAACATGCTTTCTCAGCCCTCTATTAGAAAGAATCCATGTTTATTACAACCATCATTAGCCACTGGAAAAAGAAAGGTAAACAGCTTTTCCAAATGATGCATTTTTCTACTGTAACAAAATGGAGCAAGCCCTTCTCCTGGGATTTATCAGCATTTCAGTGAGCACTGTGCAAAGTGGAGGGTAGTGTCAGGAAAACAGCACACTCCTCTCTAACCTAAGCAACACTGTTGTCATGGAAACTTTGATAGCTTGTTCCAGAATAAAACTCCATATAGAGTCAGCACAGAGTTCCCAAGATAGAGCAAAACAGCAGGGAGCCTTTATCCATTTGGACTGCTTTCACAGCAAGCAGTACGCTGAAGTAACTGTGGTTTGGGGTAAATATACCAAGCTAAACCAGTAAATATTTAAACTATTTACTATGTGCAGACATGGTACAGATTGTCATATATTGAGCACCGACAGCCAAATACTTTTCATGTTCTTAAGAATTCTCCTTTGAAGCCTCTGCACAGCCTGATAATTCCCAAGCCAGCTCTGCTTAAATCTTTGTATAGCTAGACGCTTTACTGCTCAGTCAAAGGAGTCAGAACCTTGTGAAGTGGCTTTGAAAATTTCAAATGCTTATTCTTGTTTCAAACTACAGGGAAGACTCACATCACTTGTTGCTGAGCTGACTCTTCCACGTATGGGGTGAAATTAGGCAACGTACAGGGCACTTCCATGCCAGAATTAGCATTACTGCGAGGACGCTGAAGGGGAAGAAAAAAAAAAAAAAAAAAAAAAAGCCCATATTAGCAGCTTAAAGTTTCACTATATTCCCTTTTTTCCCCCTCTCTGAATCTCTGTTTTCACAGTCCTTAGCTAGGCTAGTTTTTCTTATTTAAAAACATATAACCTCCTCAAGCCCTAGTTTCTTTGTTACTCTGAGGGAGTACTGGCAAAGCAGGGCATTCCAGTCATTTCTCATTTGTTTTCCAGAGAGACTACAATCCTATTTTTTTAATCCAAGATTGATTGTCCCAAACCTTTAATATTATCTCCCTGGTTTCTTACAAAGAGCCTCCAGACTTCTCCATTTTCTTCTCAGCAACACCACACCACAAACAGCCCTTAAGACTGTCTTTGGAGTCAGTTATTAAAGAGAAGTGGAGAGTGGAATTTAATCTGCCAACACTTTATTCTCATCTGCTTATTTGAAATTCCACAAAATTCTCAGCCAGGAAAATTTATGTGGGGGAATATTTTACAGATTGGTTTGTCTTTGCCATCATCATTCACCCAATTATATATTTAGCCATCTCCATGCTGCCAGCAGCAGAGAAGCCTCTCTTCTTTATGTAGCTTTACATCAGAAAGCATTTGTAAAAAGTTATTCTCGTTATTCTATACAGTAAGACATTCTGTGTAATGAGCACCACTGGACATTTTAAATTCTGTTTCTTTCATTTCACTCAACTCTGTTTGTTGCAGATAGGACTAAGGCAGGACAGACAAAAAGAATACAGAAGTATTTGGGGACTAAAATGGATGCATAAGCAGCCTGAACCAAACTGAACAGCAACCAAAAAAGGTTTCACATTAAGGATTTTTTTCCCTCCTCATTCTTCTTAATGAAATTAAGCCTGTAATTTAGTGTAAACAGTTGTGTTCACTTAATCAAGTTGTTTGGCATTTGGCAGAAATTCTTTTTGGAATTTCCATGAATTTTAGTCCTTTGTCCACTTCCTCTCAGTGCTTATTTCTAAACATCAGGCTTCTATAGTGAAAAGTATCAAGTATCTTTAATCTTCTGATTACTGGACACTTTTTCCTGCTTTTCCTAAAAAAGGCAGGAAAACGCTGAGAATTATCTAAGGACCCATAAACCAAACTTGATTTCATGGGCTTCAGTTTCCTTCAAATAACATCTTGGATGATTTCTCTATAAGAATTATATACACATCTTTAGCACAGCTTTTTCATGCCTCCAGCATCAGGCTGGACAGTTAGAACCTACTTCCTGACCTTGCTGTTTTCACCTCCCTGCACACTGCCCTATATTGCTAGGGCAGGTATTCTACTGACACAGATGTTTTCAGTTCCTTTGATCTCTAGTTTTCTGGACTACAATTCTTCCCACATCAGCTCCTCAAGAGAGACCTAGAGAATTCTTCCTACACATTGTTTTCCAAAGAAAGTAACAAGTTCTTTCCCTGGGTTATATTATACAATAACAATTTAACTCTTGCTGTCATAGCTCATGAAATTACTGATGTCGAGCTTCTCTCGCTTTCGGAGAGATAAGGGTGTTTTTCCTCTTCTAGTGCTTTCCTGTTCTCCAAATAGGTTGGCAAGACACTCTACAGATCTTCCTGGTTAGCAAGGATTAAAGTTTCTTCATTTACAGATGTGCAGAATTTTTTTAAAAACGTATGCTAGCAAGGTCAGCTTGTCTAACTTGACTAGGTTACACATGGGTAGACTTCAAGAAGAAACTAGGAAGTTCTGCAGTTATCAGTAAACACAAACTATGTTTACCAAGAGAGAAGCATGATCTTTTTCCTGGGGAATTAAGAGAAATCATGACAGCCAACTTCCTCCTTTTTTCCAGCCCATCCTGAGATTCCTTACCCTGCCAGAGTTCCAAGGTCCTGCACTTAATTCATTCTCTTTGGCCTTTGGAGCTGGAGGTGCTGTCCATGACTGAGGGGTAAGTGCAGGAATACCAGGTCCAGAAGCTGAAGCTGAATTTTCATCAAACACAGCAAAACGTAAATTATTTGAAAGCTGCTGAGAAACTGGATTTTGTAAGCTTCTGTTTCGGCCTGTGACTGTAAGCAAAGGAAATTATGAAAGTTAACCTTCAACCTGACTATGGTAGGTTTAAAGTTTCACAGAAGTGTTATTCATCCAAGACCATGTGGTTTCACCAAATGAATTTACCTTTAAGTGCATCTCCCACACGACTAATTGGTGCTGCCACATTTTTCTTCCCCCTGCCTTTTAGATCTGCCAGACAGCTTCTCTGAGGTTCTGCAGTTCTCAGAAGATCCACATCTTTTTCATCAGCAGCTTCCTCAAGTCCCAGTAGTGTCTGCCGAGAAACACGGGCCTGAAACTGCCTGCAAAATATATTGGAAACGTCAGACTGGAAGCATCACCCTACCAGCTATCCACTGAAGCACTTCAGAACAGTCCAAGGGCCTCCCTTTAGGAGGAAACTCACCTGTGGTGGGACTGGAGCTTGTCCAAAGGCTCAGCCTTACGCTGAAGACCTTCCTGGAATATTAAGTCTGCTTTCTTAAAGCTTCCTCTAGCCTCGAGTTCTTCTGCCCACGTGATATAGAGTTGTGCCAATGTTGTGCCAATTTCCTCACTATGTAGATAACTGTACAGATCCAAGGGCTCACTACAACAATTCCCCTGAAATAAAAAAAAAAAATTTTTATAGTTACATCAAACTACAAAACGATTCCAAGCCAACACCTGCTTTCTGATGCTCCTTGAGGACCCCTATTGATTAAATACAAGTCTTATAGGAACAAGAGGCAAGATCAAATCAAAATTCCTAAGACAAAAGAAGAAAAATAACAATAGGGGACGAATGCTAATGAGCAAATGCATTCGCTAGTATTATCAGCACTCCCTAATTCCAGCCTACACACTCGAATTCAGCCATTTCTTAGAAATTTCATCCGAGAAAATTCAAGTATGGCATTTTAGTATTTGCAAGAATAGTTATTTTATCCTTAGATAAGATCCTTTAAAAAGCTGAACAAGAAATAAAAACATAGTAAAACAAATCTGCAAGTCCAGAACACCCCTAATGTTTGCCATTTGCAATAAATTTTGCAACAGAAAGCCTAAGTTTATAGCTGTCCAAACTGAAAAACACCCAAAAATTCTCTTAAAGAAGAGAAATTGAATAGAAGAGTAGATAACATGTATGCAGAGAGATACATCTAATGCTGTACTACTGGCAAAGCAGATTCTTTGACTCTCATTAAGAAATTCAGCCTAAAATAATAACCCCCTGTTTTTCTCGAGGAAAAGGAGGAAAAAAAAAAAAAAAAAAAAAAAAAAAAAAAAAAGGCATTTTGCCTGCTGTTCACCTCCCAGTTTTGCTATAAAAATCCTCTTTTCAGAGTCTAGTATTAAAATACAACCAGTTCCTCCAATTTTTTTTTTTATTTCAGAACCTAATAGTTTGGTGGTATGGATCTAACTTTTCCATTTGTTCTTCTAAAATATGAGAAAGCTTACCGGTCCCAGACATCCAGGGGATCATCTCCAGAGTAAAACCGGATTTCTGATTCAAATTCTCTAGAAAAGAGATTATCCAATCACTAAAGACATTTGTAAAATTACAAAAGTGTCTCCTGCTGCATAAACGAAGGCCTCCCCTCTTACTCGTACTACTTTGTAGGTCCACACCACGATAACAACTTACATTATCATATGACCTCATACCACATGACCTTATACTATGACCCAAAGAGTTAAAGAAAATAAACAAACATTTGGACTCTTCGTCAGAAAGAAAGTGGTAGGGAAATTACAGATATTTTAAAAGAACAGGCACTGGCACAAACTTTCCAAAATATACTTCAAAGCATTTATATTCCAAATCTTTATAATCTCCCTTCACAGAATTCTTGCCCTCTTTTGAAAAGTTACTAGGAAATGGAAAGATTGCAAAGAAAATAACTTTAAAAGTGCAGCATGCAGCTAGCATAGGCATTAGTTACAAAAATTTTGCTCTTCTCTTTCATTGTGTTCATGAGATTAGTAGAGATAAAGGAAAATTACAAGAAGGCAGAAAGAAGGAACGTGTCCAAACATTGCTTACTGTTTTCTCAGTTGAGCAGCAGTGTGGATGGAAGTCTCCTGCTGAGCCAGGGCCTCCTGCAAGGTGGACATGATGCGGCCCTGCCTGAGGGGCTGCACATTTTCTTTGCTCAGCTCCCACTCATCGTTCCACACCTGTGACATGACAAGCTCTTCCTTACGCTCTGTGTTGATGAAAAAAAAAAAAAGAAAAAAGAAATAATACACAATTGAGTAGGAAGGTCTCCCTGTGGCCAGGCGTGATGAGGAGACACAGGACGGAAGGAGAAGGGGCTGTTCACTGCACGGCTCCGGAGCGGCTTTCAGAAAAGCGCCCTCAGGGCCGAGCATGGCGGCTTCTCCCCAGCATAACCCCCCTTCGCCCTCTCCTCCGCGACGGGACGAGGGGCCCGCACTCTCCCGAAGGCGGCCGGAGGGAAGAGCCAGGCGTCCTCCAGCCCCGCAAAACCCGCACCCACGCGCGGCGCTACCGCCCTGCCCGGCACTCACGCAACGCAGCACCCGCGGAGAAGACGCTGGCAGCGCAACGGCCGCCCCTCGAGCCACCTTCGAAATTCAAACGCCAACCGCCGCCGGCTCCCTCCCCATTGGCCAATGCTTTCGGCGGCCGCCTTGCTGATAGGTTGCGCCGTGTGCGGGGCGGTGCCGGAGCGGTGCCTCATGGGAGATGTAGTTTGGCGCGGGCGGCGTCGCCCGTGAGGCGCGACCTCTCGAGGGGCTGCGTGTTCCGGCCTAAATCTGGGCTCTCCTTATGGCACCCACAAGAGAGGCCTGATAAATTAATAAATAAGTGAATCTAAATAAGATGTTTTGTGCTGTCGTGGGAGTGAACAGCCTGCCGGTGCTCTTAGAGTGACAACACAGATATCCAGATCCATTCAGAGCCATAACCTGCGTCTCCCCCTCATCCTCTCTGTACTCCTCCAGGAGCTTGTGAGGAAACATGTAGAAGACAACACCTAACATGATCTCTCGAGCTTTTCTTGAGCTTTTCTTTTTTTATATGCCCCAAAAGCATATATTTTGACACAAGGTACAACAACACTAACCTAACTTCGCTATCATAGGTGCTACCCAAGCTTGACTACATTATCTAACTAGTTGGAAGAGGGAAACAATAGCATTTGAAAGCAGAGCTCATGGGAAGATGATAAGACATGTTGAGATAAAACATGTTTAGACTGAAATGCTTCAGATGTCCTGTGGTAATGTGGCATATATCTGAATTTCAGTCCTTGCACCTACATTTATCTGCTGAGATTTCATATAATGAGCAATGCCTTCGCTGCTACAAATGAACCTCCTCTATCCCAATAGCATGTGTTTATAAAGATATGAATCCATTTGGTGTTTATTTGACATTTGAAATCTGACTGTGTTGAGACACCCATCAAGAAAAAGAGACACTGGAGGGGAGGCTTTAGGAGGAGGCAAACTTTATGTCTCGCACACATGGAGAAAACAGGCAATTTAGGCAAATCTACATTTTTCCCTTCAAGGGAAATGGGAAATAGAGGGAAAGGCTTCAAGAACAGAGGACAACAGATCTTTGCCCTTCTTTTCACTCTGCTTCAGCTACTACTTTTGTGGCCTCTAAAAGACATCAGCTTCTGGCTTGTTCCCTCTGTTAGAAGCGAGAGATGGGAATGCATATTCCAAAACACAATTTCTGTCTAAGTATTAAGACTTGGTCACTGCTCTCCCCAGCTCATTTCTACAAATTTCATTTTCAGAACTAACCCAAGGATTTTCCCTCTGGATTTTTCATATATCCTGCCTGTGCCTGCTGATTTTGATTAAAGTTCAGTTTGCCTTGGCAGGCAAGGAGGGAAATTGCTTTTTTTTCCTATGACAAGGAAATGGCCATCCCTTTGGTGTATGTTACTCCAGAAGAGGGTGCTCAACGCTCGGAAATGAGGTGAACACCAGCGGCCCTGGCAGTTAAATCATTTCAGGCAGCATTTCAGCTCCCCTTCAGCCTCGGGTTGTAATCCCAAATCTACATCTATGGATATGGAGAGAGGCAACCATCTTCAGATGCAAAGTTTGTGACCAGATTTGGCCTTTTATAGATCTGCATAACAGATATGAAATGACTGTCATTCTAAGCTGGCATAAAAAATGAAAAGCAGAGCTCGACTGTGGATGGGGTGAAAGAGATCTCTTAAATCTACCTGCAGAGCTGAACTTCCAAACGTATTTGAGAGGCTTTGGAGTTTAAGAAAGTGATTTTAAAGATACTTATCCACTCGGTTCCCACCAAAAAAAAAAAAAAAAAAAAAGATCAGTTCAGCTTAAGCGCTTATATGTTTCTCAGTCCTGGTCAGAAGCAAGGATCCATGCACGAGCCTGGGCATGTAAAGTTTACAACTATTTATATCCCAGCAGATCGGAGAAGTCCATGTTAGCACCATCTGGTTTAGGTCCTTTAATGCAATGTTCTTGGTTAATGATATTTTCAAGTTATGGAATGTAGGGATTAAATAGTTAATGTAGAGTGTACTAATAAGCTAGTCAATACTTAGTCTCAAAGTGCAAGGACTCTTGATAAATGGCAGGACAGGTGGCTCTGCATGGAGGGGTTGCCTATCTACAAGGACTCCTAATATATGGCAAGTCAGGACGTTCTGCATGGAGGGGCTGCCTATCTAGGTGTCCCAGTCAGCAATAAAATATAGATAACATTGACATGAAAGCAGAACAGGAAAACAGGACGGGGAACATTTTTGGGGTAAGAACGGTATAAAAGAGGGACGACCGAAGCGGTCAGGGTCCGTGGTGTGCCCCGTGCGTGGGAAAGCCCGGACCCCAGCTAGCTGGTAATACTTAGTATCTTTCTCCTATTATTAAAAAGCACAATATATCGATGGTGTTTGCCTCTTTCTCCGTCAATTCGAAAACCGGACCCAACAGGAACATTGTATGACATGGTAGCATTTTATCCCATATGCTATGAATTAATTAGATGAAAATACACATGGATGAATCAGTTCATCCCTCTCAATTAAATAACGTCAGAAAATGGAGCATGTGGGGTTTTTACCTTCTCTTCCGCTACTTGTCTACAGAGAAATATATTGCAAGGCGCAGGCTGGACACTCTGGATGGAAAGTGTGACCAGCAGTCATTATTTTGCCTCCAAAGCAGGATTTTAGCCTCTGGAAAGCCCACCTTGCCCCGGCTTTGCTAAAAGCCCTCCAGCTGCCCAGGGCTCAGCAGTGACAGCAGCAACAGGAGCCCAGACATACGCAGCACCTCTGGGCCCAGGGTAATCAATGGAGAATGGAGAATCAATGTACAACCCTATCTACAGTCTATCTCTACGGGAGAAGCGTCAGCATCTTCAGCAGGGAGACGGGGTGCTGATGTCCCCAACAGCAGGCCCCTGGTGCCCATTTGTGACTGAACACCGAGCCAGATGCAGCTTTCAGAGAAGCCGTCCTGCTGACGGGACATCCCAGTGCACAGCAAGGCTCTGAGGGAAGGCTCGAGCCTAGCAAGCGGCTAGCAGAAACGCCACCACTCTCTGCTTGCTGCTTGCCTTGGGTTGAGCTAAAGCAAAGGGACTTTGCTGCCTGTGTGATGGCACCATCTGAACACACATGTTTTTCCTTCTGCTGGGTAGCACTTCTCTTAATAGACACTCAGTTCTGGAGTTATTTTTCTCTAAAGGGTAAGAGTTTGAGGAGGGAACATTGAGCAGACGGGACTGTAGAGGCTGCCAACAGCCTCAGGAGCTCCTATGTCCAGGTGCCAGCAACTTGGAAGACTTGGGGACCTGTGGGACACATGGGGATCTGGGAATACTGAATTTATAAGCCTAGCTATTGGAGGGATCCCCCATTTTATAAATGTATATACGAGGATGTCCCCATGCCCCAAACTCCTCTGACTGCAGCCCAGCACAGCACCTACCTGCAGCAACCCTGTGGGCTCCCACAAGAAATTCTCTTGCACGGACCCCAGCCAAGGATCCCGTGGAAAATACGGAGATACAGGGGAATGGGTGGTGGAGAGCCAGCATCCGGGTGGGTTGAGGAGCATGTTGCCCTGCCTGATCTTTGTGGGCCTGGGTTTGCCCAGCCTGGAGCAAGGTGCTCCCTCCTGCAGTTCCCCAACGGGGTGGCTTGAAGGGAGTTGCGTGCTGAGTCCTTTCACCACCGTGGTCGTGTCACGCTGGTGATGGCTGGCAGGGCAAAATTCACTGTGCTGCTATAGAGACCAGAGCTGCCCGTGCACATCCACGCACGCCAGGCCTGCTCGTGCCCCTTGCTCTCTGTAAACACATCCGTCTGTGTCAGCCTCTCTCCCAGAACGGCTTTTCCCGGTTCATTAAAGGCAGGAGGGAGCTGGCAGTCGGCAGTCCAGCTCCCCGATGCGCTTATCAAGCTCTTTGACCTTAAAGCAGTTCTCCTTGGGCTCCTTATAAGCAAACAGAGGCAAGAACAGCAAGCTGCAACCTACTTAGCAGAGCTGAGGATAAAAATAAGTGGGTTATGATAAATGCTGGTCCACACTGGGGAAAAACTGGGTCAAAGAGGCTGGGGAGCACCAGCTTGCTTTTGTATGCCCTTTGCTCCTCTGTCATTTCCAGGCTCTCTCCACACCCTTATGGGCTGGAAAAACACCATGATATGTCTGTTCCCTTTCTTCCCTGATGGGAAGTGCTTGCTCTTGCATGAGGGTAACATCTGCTTCTCAGTTCCGTTTTTTCCTTTGCTTCAACAGAGATCATCCCTCCTAATGATCCCTTAGAGCAGGGCCTAGCACATAGTGCTATCACCACTGTCCATTCCCGGGGCACAAGAAATGGAGAAAATGAGTGTCTAAAGGGAGTCTGGAAAGAAGCCCTCAAGTTTCAGCTATCGACGATGCTCCTTTGGGCACCACCAGCCTGGAGAGCAGGCTCAGGAGCTTCGGTGGTGCCTGAAGACACTCGGTCCAGCCCTTAGTGCTGCGTTTGCACAGTCTTGTGGCAAACGTCTGCCTGGGACCATCCTGAGCTACCAGAGGAGCGGTGCTTACACAGCAAACACAGGGCTCCCTCCCCACCCTCTGCTATCAGACAAATTGCACTTGTAGTTACTGGGAAAATAGCTTTATTGCAGTGACGAGAAAAGCTTGTCGCATCTCAGGCTCCACCTCCAGGAAAAGTGCAGCTTCTGAAGTCCCCACAGCAAGTGCAGCTCTCCCAGAGAAAGAACAGCAGAGCTCAGCACTAGGGACAGCAGGAAGGAGAGATCTACAGAAGCAAAATAGATGCCGGGAGAAGCAAAGGAGTCCTTGGAAGTGGTTGCCCTGTGAGTTGGTTTAGGTGCAGATTCCACTAACCTTACACTTTCTCAAGGGTTTATCTGGAGTAGCCTCAAGCAATGTGGAGCTTGGCTTCCGGGACAAGGGCAGTTTTGTTTGCCACTGCTGCTTCTGTAGCAGGAGACTCACTTTGCAGCACTCCTGAGCTGCTGTGTTAGGCGGAACAAATGAGATAGAGACCAGTGAGATAGGCTCCTTCTGACGCATCCATGTCTTGGGCACTTCTAAGTGTCCTTGTTGAAAACTGGGTGTTCAGCAGCTCTTGTCAGCACTGTAGTTAGCCCCAAAGTGGGAAAAACAGAATCAGCATGAATTCTGTGCTGATACATCATAGGATGCGAGTGGACACAGCCCTATTTTTGGCCAAAGGGAAGTCAGTCCAACTTTTGGTTGCCAGTCGTGGGAGATGGGTTGTCAAGAGATGTAAATGGGGACTAGAGCATCACTGCTTTATTCTCCATGAGTGCCTGCTTTGCTGACTTTGGGCTTCATGGGGGGACCATAAAGCTGAAGACAGGGTTGCTGTAGGATGGGGGAGGAAGGGTCAGACAAGCCATGGCGCTGCCATCCCGCGAAGTCAACCTGGAGGCCAGGAGGCTTCCTCCTAACTCAACCACAAGCCAAGGCAAGCACAGCAGAGCTCACCTGCTCTTCGTGAACCACCTCCGCTTCCCACCTCCATTCACCTCTAGGTGCAGCTCCTCATGAGTGAAGCAAATCTGCAAATGCAAAGGGGTTGGTGCCCACATAGAGGGCAAAGAAACGGTAGTGACACCCGGCCCTTGGAGCTAATGCTGGCCTCCATCTTCAGTGGCAATGAGAAAGGAACTGCTGAGAGCAGAACCCAGCCCTGAGGGAGCTCCTGAGTTCAGTCCCACAAGCAATGTCAGGACAGGGGTGACCTGTGCTGCCTGCAGCTCCAGCAGCAGCACCCCAAAAGGAGCAGCTGAGCAGTCAGTGCTGGCTAATTCATCCGCCAGGAAGAGGTGGACATGGGGTTGCCATAAATAAAGTGCAATTAGGAGCTTAGCTACGTCCTCACTGCACCTGTAGCCAGTTTAGGAAACGCAAGGGAAAGGGGTCCCACATGGCAATAGACAAGAGGATGAAGAGATGAGAGATACATCCCCCCCACCCCAGCAGTCCTCAGTGACATTTCAAGGTATCACTAGAAGTTCGAATTAGCTGTAATCTCTTCTGGCTTTAATCTCTGTATTCAGAAGACAGGGCAGGCACCACTGGCCTCTTGCAGACCAGTTTTTCTCCTGAGCAGAGAGGTAGGCTCCACCTTGGCAGGGTGGCTGAGATTACCCCATGCTTTCCCTGGGGGGTGCAGACTTATTTCCGCTATCAAATCTTGCTGTCATCTTCTGTTGATACACCCTTGCCAGGTATGTTGACTTTCACTTCCACATCTCGGTGGGGTTGGCTCTCCAGAGCAAAGGACACCCCTGGCCTTCCATGGTGACCATCCTCATTAAAACCTTTTTCCTCCTCCTCGCTTTCCTCTGGGTCTTCATCACTGTCCTCATCATCAGCTGCTGTATTGTCCTCAATCACTTTAACCCCATCTCCAGCATCTGGATCCACATCAGTCTTAAACCATACGGCTTTATAGCCGTTGTCCTCCTGGCGCCTCTCCGTCTTGAGGATAGACTTCACTTCTTTCTCATGGTCACTCTCTTCTTCCACTTGCACTTCCTCTTCCTTCTCCTTCTCCTCCTTGTCAAAGATGATGGTGGAAGCCACAGAAGCCACTGGAAGGTCATCAATTTCTGCTGCCTTGGAAGAACTTGAGGGAAGTGATTGCTGCTCTAGCACAGAAGTCATTGACTGGACACTGCCATTTTCTGCTGTCTCATGTTGTTTGGCGCTCACATCTGGGTATTCATCTTCCTTGTAATCTTGGTTCTGGTAATCCTGGTAATCACCAGAGAAGCTTTTGGGGAACTGCGTGAGAAGAGACACTTTGTGATTATAGTGAAAGGAAAAGAACTATGAAAGGAAAAGAATGGTGCTTTCCATCAGAGAGGTCAGCACTGACTGGCAGGTGGGTGCTGTAAGGAAGCCAGTCCTGGTAGACAAGGGACCCCATAAGAAGTTATTTCCACAGGCATGGGCATGTTTTCCAGTAGGGTTGAGCACCAACAACTTCAACTCATTCCTACCAGATCATTTTAAGGACCATTGTCAGTGGAATCTAGGCCCTGCAGAGTCCCATCCTAATGCAGGGGCAAACGTCTGGTCAGATAAAATAACCAGAGCACTGTGGATCCCAGGGAACCAAGGACGAATAGCTCAGGTGGACACAACTGCATCTTACATGCAGCAAATTAGATGAGATAAAGGCCCTTATAGGTACAAAACCTGGTTGTCTGAGTCTAAGTCTGGGCTTTAAAATAGGATACGAAATGTCCTTTCTCTTCTTTGTCTATAAAGAGGGGATAAACAGTGGTTTATAGCACAGACACCTGGTTCTCAGAGGCCACCTCTGCTACCTGTCATATTTGCCTTAGATTTTGTGCTCCGTGGAGGCAAAGTAAGGTAAGGTCCTCCCTATCATGTCTGCTCATCATCTCCTGCATGGCTTCAGCACCAGAGGACAGAAGGAAACAGTAGCCAACAGCACCACGTTGAGGTTGCCTTTGCCAACACTGGCTCAGGAATGATTTGTCACCTTGGCACAAACACACACAGCTTTCGGAGAGCCCATCCATACGTCAACTCTCCTCAGGCCCCACTTACCTCTAAGAAAGTCTAAAAGGGAGATAGGCACGAGCAAAGCACTTACTTTTTTTCTCACCAGATGTTTGACTGGTTTTCCATACTGCTTGTATATCATCAACCCGAGGAAGACCAAGGCGATTAAGAGCAGTGCTGCCAAGGTGCCACCTAAGGCGCCCATATCCTGTGAGGTGTATTTCTTATCAGAGGAGGATTCAGCTGCAAGACAAACAGACTGCTGTTACCAAGTCTAAAACTTCCAGGTAGCATTTTAACAAAACACTTCATAGGGAGAGAAAGCACCAACCAATTTCTGAAGGGCAAAGAATTGCTGCAGAGTATGAGAGGAACAAGTTTAGTGTCACAGAAGGCCTTTTGTTTGCTGTCCTCAAGGCATGAGGTTTTTTCTTAAGGTTGCCACTCAAAGGATATGGAAATAGCATCCATTCAGAGGGCAATGATTTTTGCCCCATCATGCCTGCATTCGTCACTTCATGATTTCACTAAACGAATGAAAACACAAGTGTATTAGGCAAGCAGGGCATAGAGCTGGGTGGATCCTGCCTGTTCCTGCTCCCCGTGTTGCTACCAGCATGCAAAACCAAGGCATGACCGCATGCATGCGTGTGCAAATACAAAGCTTCCTTTAATCCAGAGCTTCACCTTTAAGACTGCTGGTCAAATTAAAACAGGGAAAGAAACTGGAAAAGAACAGGCCTCCTTGAGAAGGGAGGAACTGATACAGGTGTCCGTGTGAAGAGCCACGGCAGGTCTGGCTTCCTTACGGAAGAGGGTGTGGTAATAACTCTATGTTTTGCTGATAAAAATAATAGCAGGGATCCTTAGGGCCAAACAGCTGCAAAATGCAAAAGAAAAGGCTTGTGACGTGAGCGTGGTCTTCAGAAGGGTTGGTTTTAGGGTTTTTTTTTTTGCAGAATTTCTGTAATTTCTTTCTCGAGACTGATTCCTGCTCCGTTACTACACCTGACATCAGCACTATAGCTGAGAGGCAGTAACTTCCTCGAGGTTAATCATCTCTCCTTGCTGCTGTCAGCGGCATTCTTTATTTCTAAGATTTTCAACTTCATTTCACGCTGTGAATTCATCTCTTTAAAGTTTAAGGATCAATGAATCAAAGTTTCGTCCTCCTGCTGACCTAGGTATAACGATGGACTTTGAGTATTCTCTCTGCGTTTGACTGATCTCTTGGTTTATCATTAATGTGTTGGTGAGGGTTTAGAGAGTCTGCATTTTTACTTCTTAATCGTGTCTCATCAGGTAGTACATGATCTCAGCAGTACATGATCCTCAGCTTGAGGAAAGGCTCCTGCAGAGATCAGGTTGGCCTGGCTCTGGCACCCATATCCCAGGAGCCAGAGGCCAATGTGCCCTTCCCACCTCACAGGAGGTGGGTATTTTTTTTTTTTAAAAAAAGGCTCCCTGGATATTAAGACGCTCGGTGAAGTGCGTGCCCTCCAACACATTGCATGCTCAATCCTTAGCACCAAACACCACATCAACCCTCCAGCTATTACAGTAATCCTCCTTTGCCACGCTAACATACTCTGTCTTTTGGCCCACAGAACACAACTTTAAGTAACCCCGGGCTTAGATTTGGGTTAAAAAGAAAAGATGCTACAATGCATGGACCTATTTAAAGTCTGGGGATGCTCTTTGAGGCATGTGCGGACCATATCATAAGGTGGTCATTCGGGTGGTCGGTCTGTTTTAGGCACCCTAGGACCTCCTGCAGGCCGGGTGCTGTTCCAGACTGCTGTGGGTGACCTGTCATCCCCAGCTTGCCCACAGAAATGGGAAAGGCGCCCCTTCCGTCCATGGAAGAGAGGGCAGAGAGGTGCCCGGCTTACCTGTGGCAGGGACGACCTCCACCACGATCACAGTACTCGCCTCCTGCAGGCTCACTGTGTCTTTTCCCACAGCCTGTGTGAACACGGCAATGAGATAACTTAGGGACACCCTAGATCTCCAAGTTGCTCAATACAGCAATTCCCAGGAACACAACACCAAAGACAAGGCGCCCGTAGCTTAACTTGGCATAGGTCCATTTGAGGCAGCCAGTCTTGAATTTCTGCCACCTCAAATAGAGCAGGTCCCTCTCCTCTCGAACCACCCCCTAGAAATCCTGAGCTGCCCTTGCTCTGCCCTAAGAAGTCTGTCATGTTTCTTAGACAGTGTGAGTGGTGAAAAAAAATCCAATAGGTTTCTCTTTTTAGCTGGAGATTTGGGCACATAAGTTAGATTTATATTTTCGGGATTTTTTTTTTCAAATTAAATATGGGAAGAGAGGCTCTTAAAATCTCCCCAGATGTCCTTTGGCTTATCTCCAATGATATTTTCCACCAGAGGAGAAGACAAACAGTTTTACACTTAACACCAAGCAATAGCCCTTGTCATAGAGGATAATTTTGCTATCACTTTGTCTCCCTTCAACCCTAGGCATTTATGATGCAAATGGTTGGGGCAAAGACTGTCTCTTCCTTGTGCCCCTGAGCTACTGCGACTCCACCCTTGGCAGTTCTCTGGTACAAACTCCAGCTTCCTCCCACCGCCCTGATAAGGTGACGAAGAAAGTTCTCCTACCTCCATGGTTACAGTTCCCGGCGACTGCAGCATCACGTTTGTCAGGATGAGCCCACCTTTGGTTGCAAGGAAATCCGTGCTGTTTTTTATGAGATACTCAATGTTTGGGTTGTATTTCTGAAAAGCCAAATGGGTGAATGAGTAAAGCACACCATGCTTTGCATGCATCTTTGTAGCAGCCCATTGGCTGGGGTTGTATAAATAGGTCTGGAGTATATGGAAGTGCATAATGCGATAAATAGATCTGGATAGAGGAGGCAGGAAAGGCTGAACTCAGATGTGTTCACCTTGTTGCTCAGTGTTCAAAATGTATCCTAAAAGAGTTGCCTGCAAAGAAATCTCAAGCCTTATCCAGCTTGCCTGGGGTCTTTAATGTTTGCCCTAGCAAAATGCATCTATGCAAGGGATTAGGCAAATTTCTTCCGGTCTGTATTTAATATAGTGCCAAAATGAGATGTATGTGAAGGTGATGTATGTATGATTGTGCTGAGGGCTGGAGTATAACAAAGAGTGAAAGCAAATAGCCACATGGCAAATCAGTGAATATCTTCTGCTTTCCTCCTCCCAGCTGAGCCTAGCACTGTCTCCAGGTTACACCTTGTCATTACACCCATATAGCCCAAGGGGAATATAGGAAGGTATACAAGAGGAAAGCGTGTGTCTGCCTCCCCCCCGCACCTCCCATTCCTCATGTTTGCCAATCCTGCTTTCACCTTGAAGTAGGGAGGACAGATTCAAGACATTTTCATTTCCTTACATCAGTGAAATCATCATCAGCTGCTACAATCATGAGGGGTTTGGAAGGAACATCAGCATCTAGGACCAAGCTTCCTGGAGCCAGACCAACAGATACTGTCCCTCTGTAGATACTGCTCTCGAAGTACGGCGCATGATCGCTTTTATTGATGACCTTAATCTCTACAAAGGCTATGGAGTATTTCTGTATGTCGTTGACTTGGGAGGCCTGGAGAAAAAAAAAAAAAAAGGAAAGAGCAAAATGCTACTCTTTTCCTGTTAGTGATGGGACATAAAAGGATAGACTTGATCCAAAGCCCATCGCAACCTATATGGCTCTGCCCTACAACAATCATGTTCACTGGGGGTTTTGGTCCATTCATTTAGAGTTTGATGTTCAGTTAGAGTTGAGTCCAACTGCTGCTGAGTATATATGTGTGAGGAATGCTTTTCAATTCCTCGTTTGCTCTTGAGCTGAAAGAGGAGCTCCAGCTGTGCCCACAGAAAGCCTTTCAGATGTGCTCCCTAATGCTTTCAACCCAGCATGATGTCCTTTGTGGGTTAACCTGATTTAATGATGTAGCCTACACATAAGGGAAAATGCCTCTTGACACCTGCAGGAGCTCTACATGTGAATCGTTGTAAGACAGCGGTCAAATACTGGACCCTTTCAGAAGAAAGGGTACAAGCAAGTTAGTCTGAATTACTAACGTAGTTGACTCCTGTCGCACCAAGATTGCTGCTTCCTAGAAAGCCAGCTCTGCTGGCTTGTCAAATGCAGTGTTGTCAGACTTACCATGACTTGCAATTGGAATGTCTCTGGGGAAGTTGCAGCTTTGTTCATGGTTAGATTCCCTGTATCTGTATCTATTGAGAACACTTTATCGGTATCCCCTGAAGAAAACAGAAAGACTATTTAATCATGGAATGCCTTGATAGGCTGACCTGGAGCTCCTGTTACTCCTCTTGTTTCACATGTAGATTATGGCAACATGACCTGGGTCTCCAGTGGATCACCGTACCTGGAATACTAGATTTCTCCTTGTTCTTCACCCACCATAGAAATGCCAGACCCCACTTCAAAGACTGAACAGCAAAGATTTCATAGCCTATTAAGCCTTGACTCCAAACCCTCATCTTAAACCTCTGTGCTGAGCAGGACTCTGGGGCAATTTGAGGACTGAAGATTCCCAGTTCCCTAAGACTAATGTCATCCCAAGCCCTAACCCTGCACTACAGGAGATACAGGAAATTTCTGTTTTAAAAACGAGGACCAAGTTACATAGAAATATCATTTAGCATCTTCTAGACATCTGAAGGTCAGGTAGCTCCACCTGAGCTGGCTACTTACACTCTCTTTAGCCAGTAAAGAGAAGAGGGCATTTCAGCACATGATTTATCTGGCTCGTTGTTGACACTGGCCTCAAGATGAGCTGAATTTAGCCCTGCAAATGCCTATTTCTGTCCCCTCTCTACAGAAGCCTAGACATAATCCTACTTGTTTTGATGTAGGGCTAGAAATCAGCCCTCTATATCACCGACACACACAGAACCATTTTTTCTATCTTGAATATACGTTGAAATATGCACACAATATTTGATTACCTTCCTCGCTTTGAGATCCCACAGGCTGCATTTAGACAAGGACCCTCAATCAGAGGTTCTCTCTTAACTACTATTAACTAAATCCAAAATGGTCATGGTTTTTGAGGCTCTTTAAAGTCTCTATTGCCATGAAGATCTTCACAAGTGAGGTGCCACAGCAGCTGCTGTAGGGAACATCTAAGCAATGCAGATCAGGATCTACTCACCACCAACAATACTGTACAATATTTTCTCATTTAAAGTGTAGTCAGGATCGATAGCGTAGATGGGCCCAGGCTCCAGAGTGAGTGGTACGGTCTGGAATGGCAAAGCTGACCATTAGGTACAACCCCAGACCACCAAACGCTTCCATGTTTCCCAGCACTGTCCTCCACGGCGGTGCTGCAGGATCAAGGACAAATACCGCTGCTCTGGGGAGGAACCAGCACCCAGGGGGGCGAGGAAGGCTCACACTCACTCTGAGTCATCATCATGCTTTTGTGATCAGAGATCAGCACTAGCTCATCGGGAAGAGGAGAGAATCCAAGATGCTCTTTGATCCCTCCCGCTTACCGACTTTTCGGAGATGTTGACCCGACCACTATAGGGGCTGCTGATGCAAATGCTATTGTCCGTGTTAATGAAGGTGCAGGGTAGGAACCAGGGTGGTTTCATATCAGCTTGTTCAATAAATATGCTTATGGTTGCAGTAGCAGTGTGGGTGGTATCGGCGCTGTTCACTGGCCTGTCCTGTTCCCCAGAGCAAAAAAAAAAAATAATAAAATAAAAAAAGTACTCCTTAGACCCGATTTTATTGCCAAAAGTAGAACCCTCTTGCAAAAAGCCCATGTCTCTAAGACAATTTTCCCTGAAACTTAACAATTTTTGTGAAAATAGTTAAAGCTCCAGGTGACCCTGCATGTGCAGGGGATGTTGGACTAGATGATCTCTAGAGGTCCCTTCCAACCTTAAGCATTCTGTGATTCTACTGTTCTATGATCTCGTGCTCTGCCAACAGAAGCGGATCAAGCACAAGGCTGGGCACAGTCATGGAATGATTCTGTGGGGAGGAAGGACTGAAATGCCCCCCAGCATCCACCCTCTCTCGTGCCATCCCAGCGATCTGCCCCTTAGACTTCCCCTCAGGCTAAGGACAGTTGGGGCTCCTAAGATACTTACCCTTGCGTACAAGAGCAAAGTCGTGAATTTGATCTTCTCATAGTCCAGTGCTTTTTGCAAATAAATTTCGGGGTTGTTAACTCCTTTTATGGCAAAATAACCACCTGTGTCCTGGAGGTGGGCGAAAAAATCAGAAAAACCCTACTAGCAGACCTGATAACAGACACGCGCTCTGGAATTCTGCTCACTGCTGAATTCGTCATCCTAATCAGACCTTCAAGCCTGGAATGTTATGGGGTCGGGGAGGAAGGGGGCTACAGTCGAGACCCTGGCAGCTGCTGTTCACATCCTTTAAAATCCCTGGGGTTACAAAGTGCAACGGAGGCAGCGAGTCAGATGCTGCCTCCTCATTGCACAGTGCTCTTTAAAATTTTACTTATGTGCTTGTTTTTTCACTTGCATTTCTTTGTTTCTCTTTTTATTTATTTATTTTCTAGGATATTCTTACATATTTGCAATCTAGGCTGGCATGAGTTTGTGCACACTGCATTTCCCACTTTATCAAGCGAATCCCTCAAGATTTAGCTAAAATAAGATCTAAATGAGATAACTGCAAATGAGATAACATTTAACTGAGATAACTTGAGCACTAAACTGGGACCTGGGGAAAGTGCGGGGCTGGCTTTGGCCAAGACTTTTTGTGCAATCTTGGGCAAAGGATGTTATTTCTACTGTGCCCAGACACTGCTAGCAAATAGCTGGACAACCCCTTCCTCCCCCATCCAACCCAGTGCAATCCCAAACTCCACAGGGTGCAAAGGTAATCTGCTCACGGACAGTCCCAACAGGACTTCCCGGAATCATATGACTTTCGATATCCCTCAGAGTTTAATAACAGTGTAATAAAAATGTGACTGATGGAAGAAATCAGTAATTGCAATGTCGACTGCTCTCTTTTACTTACCAGACCCAACACTTTGGTTTTGCTCTACCCTTCTGGAATAGTCATGCTTCTTCCCCAAGCTGCTGGCAAACTAAGCGAGAGCAGTGACTTCTGCCTAATTTTGGAGCTTGTCTGGATTAAACACAAAACCTGCTCTCGAGCTACCTGTTTTTTTCCCAAAGAGCAAAAATATACTCACGGGTGCTTCTGTTGTAAGTTCGTAATAAATGGTGTCCAGGTCAGCATCAGTAGCACTTAGGTCTTCACGGGGGATAATCGTGGCATTCACTTTTGTGTCCTGAAATACAAAGTTCCCTTTGGGAAATGGGCTGAAGGCTTCCCACTGGCATCTCCTCCCCAGGCCCACAGAAGTAGGCAAGCCTGCGCCCTCCTCGTGTCTGTGAAACGCTCACCTCGGGAACGGTTTCGGTGAGATTCGTTTGCTTAAAAACCGGGCTGTTGTCATTCAGGTTGACGATGGTCACGATAATGTCCAGAGAGTCGCTCTGAGAAGAGGGCAAAGGCAGAAAATCACAACCTTGGGCCACAAGGGGCTGAGCCCAATGCAAACGGAGATGCAGATGTAAATGGAGAGGACGGCGTGAGAAGCACAGCTGCTTCATGGGGGCCTTTGGTGAGTTTGCTCTCACCTCCTCCCTATCCATGGCCCCTTGGTTTAACCCTGAGGGGACTATGCCTACAAAGACACGTGTCTACCAAGAAGGGACCATGGCTGAGGAGAGGCGGAGGGAGGTGTGTGCTCCTCTGCAGCAACTTTTCACATGGCAGCACGTTTATAAGAGCACTCACCTGCCCAGAAGCGTCGGTGCAAAGCAAGAAGACTATCAGCACGGTATCCTCCTGTATGCAAAAACAAAAACCCAGCCGTTTTTGAAATAAGCCAAAATATGCAGGCACTTTTGTCGGTACATGAGGCAAAGCAACTCATTGCTAAAAGGGAACTGCTGCCAGGGGCTCTTGCTTGCTTTCGTGCATCTCCCTTTCTTTCGTTTTCCTTCACAGACATGTAGCAGTGCCAGGATCTCCTTTTCAACAGAGTCAACATGGAGTGACGCCCCAGCTTTGCTGCCCACGAATCCCAGGAGACAGGGCAAGAGCTCATTGGCCATTTCCTCCCAGTTTAGGCAAGTTCCAGCACAGATTTCATTTGCAATTGATAAAACACAGGCGTGCCAGGTAGAAAGCAGTGTCACCTGCGGAGCCCACGTCTGCTAGTCTTTGCTCAAATGTAGGGTTTAAGGAGAAGGGCAGCATAAGGAGGCATTTCACTGTGTACAGAGCTCTTCATGAAGATAAAATAATATAGCAGCAACCTAGCTAGGCACACTCACTTTTATACTTCTATCAATGGTGCAGCCAAGATAACCTCACTTCTCAGCACTGTGCTTTGCATAGGCAAGAGGGGACCATCCACCTAAGTCCTGGAGAGCTCTGAACACTGCACTTGTCACAATTTTAGTTTAAAGCTCTAAAGCTTTAGAGCCCTTGCTGTAAATCCTACAGAGACATTGGAGGACGGGGACAGCAGGTGTGCCGTGTATCCCCCCGATCCTGATCTTCCCTGTGTGGAAGGGCAGATCTCTCCAGCAGCAAACTTAAACCCAACTGCAATGTTTTTCCAAGTAATTTCCTATAGCCTTTACAAATGCGCTGTGAATCCCTGGAAATCCAAGAGGTCAGGACAAAACCCGCTGCTTTCTCCATCCTGCCCTTACATCTTGCCAGCTTAAAGCTTACCTCATAGTCCACACTTTTGGTCAGCTGCAGCTGGGAGTCCTGGATGGTAAAATAACTGGCATCAGGAGAAGAAGGATCAACCGTTACAGTGAAGCCTTGTTCCAAAGTGATAGTGGCCACTACATAGCCAGGCGGGTTATTTTCATCGACACTTGGTTTCTGGTTATCCACAGAACATCCTGGAAAGAAAATATGCAAGCGAGATGTAGAATTGCCCAAAGGTTCATGCCACGACAGATTTGGGTCACGCCTGAGACCTCCCTCGGTATTATTGGAGATCCTGGAACGAAACCCTCCTGGAGGACGGGTGTGAAAAGCCATCCACCAGCTTTAAAAGTGCAATCAGCTGCTGTGAGGGTTATTCCTTAGTGGCAACGGCTTACCTTGCTGGGCTGAAACATGTGTTATGGAAGGCAGCAAAAAGAGCACAGAAGTGAGGAACCGGTGAGCAATGGCCATGGTGGGCGGTAGATGGTTGAAGAAAGCCTCGTTTCTGACCAAGCTGATCGTGTCGTCTCCCCGTTGCTCCCAGCGTCTTGTTGTGCACTCACCGCTCCAGGGAGGCAAAAAAAATGTTGGCTCTTCCAAGTGAATTGCTGCAGTTCAACCTTTGCCTCCTTGCCCGATTGGATGACTTATCTAAGGGTATTTTGTGGGCATGGAGTGCGATAAGGAGCAAGTTGCATTTTCTCTTTAGCTCCTGAGTCTTCCTGATCTGTAACTAGGATCCATAACTAGTCCATCTAGGGCTCAGGAAATGCTTGGAGCATTTCAGAGCCAAGTCCCTGTGTTGAGCACGGAGGAGGACGAGGGCTGACACCTGGAAAACTGCCTCTGTACTCCAGCCTTTCCCGGCAGTGGAGGAGTAGGCAAATTCATGTCTCTGGTACCTCAGGGATGTGGTCTGTGTTGGTGAGATCATTTCCTGAAATAAGCAGTAGATATGTTAATATTACCTCTCCCCAGCACCTGACTATTTTTTTTTACCCAAACATTGCCTGCCTGGTCCTCATTCCCCTTAATAACAGGTTTTGCTCTCCAGCCCATGACATCTAGTTTCTGTCTTCTAGTTCCAGTGTTTTATGGTCTTCCTAGAGATAGATGAGCAGAGCAGGACTGCAGGTGGGGAAGAGATGCTCCTGTTCATGACTTACTGTTTTCCAGTGCAGAATGAATCTCACTGGAGGGGCCAATGGTGGATGAGGACAAAACTCTGGGGCTGCTTTGGGTGACTAAGTGCTCAGCTGATTCTCACCGCTTGCTCAGATGTTTTGATTTTGTGCTGAAAAAGCAGGGTTAGGAAGTAAGGATGGGACTGGGCAGAAACTGTACTACACTAACAGCCAGGGCAGTTTGGAGGCCGTCATTCTGTAGGTGAAATGTGGCGGCCATTTCACCTTTAAACAAAAACCATTTAATCTTTGCTTTGGTTTCCGTATCCACAGATGGAGGGAGAGAAACATCCTTTCTTTCCTCGTTTTATTTCACTGTAGACAGGTAGTGGCAAGGAGACGGGACACCTTCCTTGCCAGGCAGGCACGGAGCCAATAGCTTGCCCTGATCCCTCTCTTGCTACCTGGAGACCTGTCCATGCATGAGCAGCCCTTGAACGTGGCTTTGTGCTGCCACCTGAGGTATCTGCAAGGCTTTTGCTGTCCCTCCGCTCGGCAGCGCTGCCAGCGCTCCCTCCTGTGACGCAGATGGGTAAAGGTGTATGTGGGACGAAGGGCTCGGAGAGCGGACGGGGACACACGTCACAGTTCCACCTTAAAAATGGTGTGGGCCATTATGAGAAGCAGAGGCAGTCTGAAAGGTCTGGAGGCACTTCCCGCCCACAGGACCACAGATGCCCTCCAAAAGAAGAGAGTGTGCAGAAAGCGTCTGCTATCCTGAAAAGGGATTGCTTTTTTTTAATTGAAATTTGAATGTTTTATCCTTATTTCTGAAAATGGCAAAGGTTTTGGGGAAAGACCAACCTATCTTGGCTGCATCCTTGGAAACTTACGGGGATTGAGTCAATCAGCCATCGTTTCTGAGACAATCACACTATTTCTAGCCACCCAACAGTACCTAGGGAAGATGAGGAGAGCAGATCCGGAGATGGAGACCAAGGTCAGGGACAAGGTAGGTCCCCATAGGGACAAGGCAGGTCCCCTTCAGCTGGTAGCTCTTTGTAGGGATGCTCCCTTGAATACCTGTCCAGGCTCCAACTATTTGCACCTCAGCAGATCCCTGAACCCTCAATAGTATCACCTCATTCTGCCTGCTTCTGAGCCTGTGTAAGTTTTTCCCAAGTTTTTTCCAACTTTCATGCAGCAAGACTTTTGGCTACTTGCGGTGAGAAAGAGCCACTGTTGTTGTGGAGGAACACACTCTCTTGTGTTCCTCCACACTCTCTTGTGTTCTTGTGTCTCTCTTTCTCTTCCTCTTGTGAAGGAAGAGAAAGGCAGTAGCCACTCTCACCATTCCCTCTAATATCCCAGTTGCTCTGGAAAATATCTCAGACACCACATTTTAACCAGATGGCCACTAGTGGCTTAATTAGTGGCTTACAGACCATCCAGACTCCCTCCATACATCCTCCCAGAAGTCTCTCTCCTAGCAGAGATTTCTTGGGGGCCAAAACAAACAAAAACCAAGGCCCATGAGAGGCAGGAGCAGCATTTCAGCATCATGGAAAGGGCGTGGGTACTCAGATGGACATCTGGGACAGACTAATTGCCTTGTAGGTGTCGGGTACATGATAAAAAAATGGAGATGCAGAGCAGACTGAGCACTTTCTCAGTACACACAGCATGATCACAACTGAAGATACCTTTTGCTGAGAGCTGGTCTTCAAAATCCATTGGTTTTACAGGGCAAGTGGAGATGGGTTCTCAGCAGAGACAACCTCCCAAAACTGTCCTACTGACACCAGCCAGCCAGTGCTGAGCCACAACCACCAAAGACGTGTGTCAAGCTGCCCCAACATGCCTCTGTACATCGGCAGGGAAACTGTGGCAAAATACTTCTTCCCGTCACCTGGTGTTCCTAGTCATCCAAAATCTAATAATCTTGGTATCACCCTCATTAATGTTCTCCAAAAATCATCCAAAGCACAGGCATAGCCAACAAATTTTTATTAGTCTGCAGACGTAGGCAGCCACACACTAATGCATGGTGGATGTGAGGTGCTTCATTCAGGCTCCATCCACTGACACCATTTCCCACTAACATATGTTTTGCTCTTGCTTACCTAAGTGTTTTCACTGCTTCTTAGCTGATTTCTAGAATTTAATGATGTTATTTATTTGCTGATCTCACGAGTCTCCCTTAAGCAAAATTCAATAGCTTGCTAGTTTATTTTCAAGGCTATGTACATGCAAGGCCATCTGTTTGGATGTTTTTGACAGATTATTGGCTTTTGCTTCACCTCTAGTCAAAACTGTCCCCATCTTCCTTCATCTCTGCAACCAGCTGCTTGGAGATGGGGCAGATGTACTGGCTGGTAAGTGCAGCAGCTTCCCTGGCATCACTGCTTGAGTGGCTGTCAGGAGGAAAAAAGAGATGAGTGATTTTTTTTTTTTTTTTTTGTCATCATCTTCAGTTATTTCAAGTGTCCTGTCTGGCTTCAGTACTGTGGCAGTGAGGGCTGTAGAGGTACCAAGGGGAGAAATGAGTCCCACCTACCTGGCATTCAGAAAGCTCTGGTACAGCCACATAAAGCAATGGTCCTCATGGCTCTTCTCCTCCTCTCTGCCCATCACATCAGCATTGACTGAGCCCAAAGAGCTTGTTCAGACAAGGAAATGAATGATAATTAAATAAATAAACAAAAAGTATAACCACCACAGTTACAAAGTATCACTGTGCTATGCAAGGTAGGTTCACCCATCAATGACCTGTCCTATGGTCATATGGCCACATTCTGTTAACTTGTCACTTCAGCCCTACTGGAAGAGATATAAGTATCCTTTTTAAATCAGGCTCAGATGCTTTTTAAGCATTTCTTTGTTGTGTGGTTTGTATGCTCATAATTCACTCGTGACAGGATGTGCAAGGTAAGTCACGGACTCGCCTCACTGAGTCAGCTCAAGAAACCATCACTGATTTATTCTGAAGACCCAAACTCCTAGAAACCTCCACTTTCTCCAGAAGTTTGAGGAAAATATTGCAAATATTGAAGGCATTGTAAAAAGTCCTTCCTTCCCACCTGGTTAATGACAAAGGGACAAATTTTAATGTGCATTGCATGCTGTTTTGTTAGCCAATATAGATGTGCCCTACAGACCATGGATCTATCTCTTCTTCCAGCATCTGGAAATTAAAAATCTACTGCTCTGCCAGGATTTCCTCAGTGGTGCATGTCCCAGAAAATATCAAAGCACCCTTCACAGACAGGAAGGAATCAATGTGCTATGCCTCTACCTTGAAGGAAAGACCAAGCCTGAAGGTGACCTCTCCAGGCAAGATTATCCTTTTGTAACAATGCAGAAGGAAGGACAGATGTGGATGATAATATCACAGAGTGGGGCATGATACAACTGATACTGTTCTTGCTTATGTGGCTTCTGTGAGAGTCGATCACCCTGTACTTTGACTGGCTGAAAGATGCCATACATATAATTTCGGGGAAGCACGCCAAATTTGGCAGCAAAAAACGTGGCTGGGGAGTATAAAACTCAAAGCTTTTTCATATTGTGCTACGGTGCCTCTTTTCCCATATGCTTTATTTGAAATGAGTAGGTCACCTCCAGCTTTTCCTGAAAAATGAAGCCCTGATGCAAACAGAAAACCCCAGCCTGTGATCCAAAGTTTTGTCCTCTGAGGTAGGGCTCAGTACCACTGTATGCAACAGAAAATGATGCCTTGTGTTGAGAAGTAAGCTCAGCAAGAAGGTTGGACAGACGGGTCTACCTGCTGTCACAGGTAGAGCAGGCTGGTGGCACATCTCTGCTATTGCACAGCAGCGAAGGGCACAAGCTGGCAGGAGGAGACCAAGCCCCAGTCCTCTTGCTCTTGCCTCGAGTTTCCCAAACTACTGTCTATGTCCGCCTCTTTCTCTGGAGATGAGACCTGTGTCCCTGTGGCCTCTGTGGAGGCTTCCTTGAGGGAAGGCTCCAAGGCAATGCCCCATTTCCCAAGAGGTAGAGGTCTTACCTGCGCTTTCGGCCCATGAGGTTTTGGATGAACTTCTGAACCTGAGCATTTCCTCTCATCTTGCTGTATTCGCTGGTGAAGAGCCCATCTGAATGTCTTTGGAACCTGCAGCAGGGAAAATGAAGGGTCGTAAGACCACGCGAGTGACATGCGGCTCTGATATTCCTCTCATCTTGTGAATCCTGTGGATAAGATCAACACTGGGACTAGCCTGGGAGCTGGAATCAACTCAGCCCCAAGGGCATCCCCCTAGGCAGAGGTCCCATCTCCCATTGGAGAAGTCCCTGCGCAGGGAGGGTGGTTTGGGTTACTCCTTACCT